AACAACGGCAACAACAACATCAACAGCAGCACCGAAATTAAAAAAAGAATCTTAGTTTTTTGCCCAACATTAATTTTAGGAAATATTTCTTGAACCTTTCACAAGATTTTTAAATCGACTAAACTGTATGTACCTTATCATATACTCGATTAAGAATACGAGGCACTGCAGCAAAAATCGTCGGCCTGAAAGAAAATTATTATCATAAAATTCTTTCCATCATTATCAATAAGTCATACTGCGGCCAACAAGATTGCGTGATCGTTGAAATAATTCATCAAATCAAGCGTCTCCTCGGCCATAAAACAGTAAATATTATTTTGGCAACAACAACAAAACAGCTACATGAACAAAAAAAAACAATAATTGCATTTATAGTATGCCAACGATCTTACTTTAATGCCTGTATATCTTCCAACAGTAGTTTTGGATCTCCACGATAAAATCCAATTCTGGCTCCACCAGATAATACAAGTAGCTAGAAAAAAATTGTACCGCGTTAAGATCAGATATGAGTCGCTAATAAGACGCGAAATAGGAACGAGTGAAGGCTGAGACGGAGAGAAGGATGATAGAGGAAGAAATACAGCAAAAGCAATAACAACAAAAACAACAGCAATTACAAGAACATCATGAAGAAGGAGGGCGAGGAGGAGAACAAGAAGAAGGAGGAGGGGAAGGAGAAGGATGAGTAGAAAGAAGGAATAGAAGAAGGAGAAGAAGAAGAAGAAGAAGAAGAAGAAGAAGAAAGAGAAAAAGAAGAAGAAGAAGAAGAAGAAGAAGAAGAATGAAGGAGAACGAGAAATAAGATATGAGTAGCTCATAAGGGAATGCGTAATAAGGACAATTGAAGCTGATAGGGAAATTACAAGAACAATTACAAGAACATCATGAAGAAGTAAGGCGAGGAGGAGAACAAGATGGAGAAGGAGGAGTATAAGGAGGAGGAGTATCTGAAGAAGAAGAAGAGAAAAACAACAACAATGAGTTGAAGAAGAAGAAGAAGAAGAGCAAGAAGAACAAGAATTGCGAACGAGAACAGAGTTAAGGATCAAGATCAGTCTTTCCCCGACACAGGAACCCCAGATACTACTTGTTAATGTCTTCTTACATAGGCAGTGCGTTCATATATGTGTGCCAGCGGTAAATACGACAAGTAGGCATCCTCGGTGGTTGAAAGTATTCCACACTATTACAAATTGAACAAAAAGTAATAAGAATTATAATGTTTGAATTTGAATGAAAAAACATCTGGCACCAGTCTGCAAAGCTCTCTTGGGGATTGGTAACCATCGTGGACCACAGGCTACCCAAGCAACATATAAACAAAAATGTCGGAAATACCAATCGGAATATAATTGGTCCAACTTAGTCCAACTAATATAGAGCTTTTTTTTTATTGTATTTTACTTCGGGAGGGGAGGGGGTGAGTGGGGGATTTAGAGGGAGTTTTCAGGGTGCCCTAGAATTAGCCTCTTTCAAATCCAAGCGATCAATTAATCCGAATGACTGACCACTGATGTGTTGGGACTCGTTTAGACTTTGCTCAATCTCTTAAGAAAATTATTGTTCTTGTTTGTCAATGATTCTAGATGGTTTGATCGTAAACCACTATTGACTTTACGTGAAAGCAATGCCAAATCATACCACTTCATAACTGTACAAAACAGCAGAAAAAGAGGCAATGATGCCTTTGTTGGTTATCATGGCTCCTTTTGGAGTCCCTGGAGAAAGAAACAAATTCAAATGGTTAAATAAAAAGGTATCTACAGCAAGTTTATCCGCGGCGTATCTTTTTTTAGTCAGTGACAAACAGCACAAAACACGTAATATTTCAACAAGGTTTTATCACATCGCATAAGCTACCTGTAGTTCCGCTAGTGTAACATATTGTGAAGATATCGTCAGGTTTTTGCGGCTGAAATTATAAATGATAATGAAATTATATTCCTAAGTATGTCATATTGACACGTTAAAAGAATATAGAGTAGAGACAAATACTGCCGATTTTTTCTCTACGCTCCATCTTTTTGTTTTTGAAAATCAATAAATAAGAATAATTGTTAATAAATCATAATACATGGTAAAGATTACCCACTAGTTATAATTATTGAAGCGCACACGACACCTTTGAGAAAATAAATACTTATCGGAAAGGTAACACGCTGCCAAGAAAGTTTCAATTGCCCATAATTTAGAAATGCAATTTAAAATCAATTTCTTTCTTCAGAGATGTACTTAGAAGCATTTTCTCTTTTGGATGAGAAAAGACTAATGTTGTCATGTGTACTTTAATAGTCACTATGGATGATATTATTGATAATGATTGCGAAGCGGCCCTCGCAAAGGTTTCCATATGCACGTTTCCAATGTACCCATCAACACTGTACATGAGAACTGAACTTACATTTCTATCAGTAAAGTTATTTTCCCCAAGTTTCTGAAAAATAAAGCAGCAATGAGTGAGTTGTCGGTCGGTCATCGCTCAGTGATCGGTGAACCGTCGGTCACTTATCGTGCGGTGTTGAGTTTCAAATAATCCGAGATGTACAAAAGGTAAAGGTACAAAAGGTCTATCTATTGTTCGGACTGTTATCGGGTGGTGATCGGTCATTGTTCGGCCGCCGATAGATCATTAAATCAGCGATTAGAAAGGCTCGGTATTATTCGACTAGTGTTCGAGTGGTATTCGTCGACCACTAACAGCAAGCTACTTCAATTACTTAGCATATCCAGACTTCTATTTTGTAACTTAGAGCCACCAGTTCTTGCAGCTACCTCAATATCTGCAAACGATATGATTTCGATACCAAGGTCCTTTGCATCTCGTTGTTCATCCTCTGTGACGTCATGTCCTATCTTGATAATGATTTTAAGTTTAGGACATTTCTTTAGATTTTGCAGTAGAAAAGGGACTTTGATGGCTTGGCAGATCACAGCTTTGATATCCGCTAAAAATGTCAAAATATATATAAGAACCGAGCGTTTTGTTATATTTTGATACAAAACAGTGGTCAACTTTAGATGTTTTGGTTCGATGACGATGTACAAAAGAACGCACACGAGGCACCGGGAAAACAATGGATAATCTTGATTTGTTCTTTTATTTCCCTGGAGTCTCGTCTGCACTAATTCTTTTGTGCATAGTCACTAAACCAAAATATCTAAAGTCGGCTGTTTCACTCATTTCTTCTAACCATGGTTAATGATATGAACACAGGCCTCGGGACCATGAGTATCGTATATCGGGACGGTGATCATGGAATACATTTGACAGCCTAAGTCAGTCAAAACCCACTAAAAATAAGCAGAAATTAGTATACAATAAACCAGCTTGCAGTTGAAACCAATAGGAATTAAGGCGGACAATGTATCAGTCTTTTCGTTCATGATTTGAAGCTCTTGTGCGCCATTTTGAAAAGCAATCGACTATGTGCTTACATAGCTATTTCAAAAAAGGTTGTCGGATAAAATGGATGGAGGGTGTCAATGGTCGAACGGCCGAATGTAGCCATGAGTTTTGCTAGTTGAAAGGCAATGTAAGATGGTCTGTGGTAAACGTTCACTCCATTTTGTCTCCATTCTATATGTAAAGTTAATCTAAAAAGTGAAATTTTGCTTGACAAAACAGTGTAACCTTAACCATAGTCCCTTTCGGTCGTGCTATCTTCCTTCGACAATCGCCGTTCGCTGTTCTCCCCGACAAGGTTTTTGAAATAGCTGTATACCTATTTATAATGCGAAGCATGGTACGTTTCTGTCGAACTGGAAAGAGTTATTTAACATGGATCAAAAGATCAAAAGGGAATTTTTGCAATAGGGAATAGAAATTTCWAAATTAATGATAAGGTCTTGTATATATTATTACCTCCGTACAGTTTTGTGCGTAAATCCCAATGAAAGTTTCTTGTGATGGCACGCATCCTTTGCAGACTAGACCAGAGCCAAAGTTAGTAGATCGTCGATGTATCTATAAAAAATGGTACAACACTGTTCATTACAATCGTTATTAAGGGCCTGCACCACATAGATGAAAAACTGATGAATAAAATATCAGTAAGGGATGTCGAATGAACACCTTGACAATAAAGAAAGCCCTTATTGTGCGATTTACTTTGGTGAAACAGCAAAAAAAGACAGGGAATGCAAAAAGTCTCGACCCATGTAAAAGAATCCAGAGAAATAGAGGATTCAGGATCCAGATTCCGAATCATTGGATTCCGGATTCCATAGAATTTTTGTTTTGGATTCCGGTTGCGTTTTTTGGATTTCAAAATTTTTGCTCAGTGGATTCTGGATTCCAAATATTGGGATTCCGGATTCCAGGATATGGATTCCGGATTCGCATACTCATTAATTATTCATGAGGTATCCAGCCAATCCCTGATTGCAATTTGTACCACGGGCCGGGTTGCTCAAAGCCCGTTTTGTGTTAATCCAGGGTTAACTCCATAGCTTTTCTAAGAGTTAACCCAGGATTAGCGCTAATCGTCCGAGGAAGTACTTCTACCTTGTATTCTACCTTATTTCCAGTTACTTTCACCTTGTTTCCAGTTATCTCTAAATTATTTCCAGCTACTTCTACCTTGTTTCCAGTTATTTCTACCTTTTTCTAACTACTACTAGCTAATGATAATCAAAGTATTAGAAATACTCAATTAAATATAGAATTAATTTAGTGAAAAAGGTCTTTGATACATGACTGCCTCACGAAACAATCCCGAACCGGCTAGTGCATCGGACTGGACCTAATTGCGCGGATTTGAAATCCCATCCAGTCCTCATTGTCGGACTTTAAACATTACTTCCAAAGCTTTTTTTCACTTGATGATTGATGATTCCGGATTCTCTTACATGGTGCGAAAATTCCATTAGAACAATAGACATTGTTTGATAGTTGTCTTACTTAACCAAAAGCTTCTTTTTGACGGTAGTGATCAACCCCTATCAAGTTACCTCGTTATAGCCCTGCCATGCATAAGCCTTGATACTAGGATCCATGTTACCCAAGCATGGCGAATCTCCTTCAAAACAAAACACAACAAATATGTTTTTAATAGAGCAAACTCAGGAAAACCATTTAATAAAATCAAACTAAATACTAACAAATAGCGGCTATTTAGAGACAAATTTTCAGTATCAATGTAACAGAATTCGAACGCAATGAAGGTAAATKTAAAATGATCCCATGTGGATTCACCTTCATTGCGTTCTGGTTGATACTGACAAATTKTCTCCAACTAACCTCTATTTTAGTATTTAGTTTGATTTTATTTCATGGTTTTCCTGCGTTTGCTCCATGTACTAAAAGAAATTCCAATCAGATACGTCATCATACGATATTATCATATCGTAAAGCATGTTTTTAAGACAGTATTGATCTGACAAGAAATATTTACCCGAGATTCTTTTCCCTCGGAGAAAAGCTTCGTATACGGTTGTGACGTCATCGTAGTATACTGAGATTAGCTCTTTGGAGTTTGCACTTCTTCGCGCATATGACTCTCCCTGTCATCGCATTTACATTCATAAATATCAATTACTGACTATTATTAATTTTCAGTTATTATCAGTTTCAGAATGTTCGTTGAGACAAATAAGCATGTCATGTTAAACAGGAAAACTAGAGAAAAAAATCGATAAAACAATTGTGCCAAACGCAGAATCAACTAGACTAACGCCCCAAACAACCAACCAACCCTCCACCGACCAACCAACCCTCCACCGACCAACCAACCCTCCACCAACCAAATGAATAACTCCAAACAAGCAATCATCCACAGATAACCAATCAATCATCCAACAATTAGCATAATCAACCAATTAAGCAGCCCCCAAACAACGAATAAACCAACCGACTGACCGACCAACTAACAAACGAAGGAACCTACGAACGAACCAACCGACTAACCAAACCGATCAACTAACGAACGAACGAACGAACGAACCAACCGACTGACCGACCAACTAACGAACCAACGAACCAACCAACCAACCAACCAACCAACCAACCAACC